ATATCTAAGTTAGCTAAATAATTTTATGGAATGTCCAAACCTAGATTATTAATTATTAATATATCAATATTATTTGTCCAAACCTAATTACGAAGCATGATTCTTCGCCAAGTAGGATTTCGAAGCACCAGAAGCAGCCACGTTGGCTCAGCGCATTCGAGAATTATATATAGGGAGGATTTATAATTTTTGGTGGATAAAAATAAAATTACATAGATGTAAAATTAATATAAAGGAGATTCTACGGGTCCCTTAAGTTTGTAACCCTTATATCAACTATCCACGACGGTTGCATGATGATATATCGCCGGACGGAATGGTTCCGGCATTTTCCTAATATAAATACCTATTCTAGGAAATTGTGGCCAATAGAAAAACGAGAGTGGGCCCACCCTAGAATTCCGATTCCGAATCGCGTGTAGCACTGTCATAAGAAAAGGAAAAAATTCACAGTGCCATTTTTTCATTTGGATTCAACTGTTGTTCTATTGCCTTTGCATATTCTTCGCAACCGTCAACGCTCTCCTTCTGCCGCCGGCCGGCCTCCGGATCCTTTCCGATTTCCAGCTCAATTTCCTCTTTTCCCGTCGATTTCTCAATCACTTTGTCACTTGAAATACAAGCTCCGATGTCGGTGAGTTACGTACCAGCTTGTTGCAACTGTTCCTGTTTTTTCCTTTCTTAATTCTGGTTGTCTTCAAATTGTTTGATTTGTATGGGTGTGTTTGCCTGACTAGCTTTGCTTTCTGGGTTTTCTGTTTTAGGAGTATTCTGAGGCTGTGTTGGTTCAGTTTGTGGAAAATCGTTGTTCATCCGTTTAATCGTCCGTGCTAGTTCTGTGTGTGAATTCTTTAGGCATTGGTTTGAATTGTTCTGTATTGATGCTGATATTATGGTTTGATTTGTCTGGATGTGAGTTGAAGTGGGTCGATGTGATTGTCGTCGTGTTTTAGATGAAAGTTATTGGGATTGTGTGTGACTGAAGTATGGGTAAGTTTGCAATGACTTGCACCTTCAAGGAACCATGAATTCTTAGAATCGGGCGTATGCTGCAAAATGTGATCGAGGTGCTCGACTCGTTGAGAAACAAAATTATTATACTTCTTTCATTTCGTCTGAAATGCTGTGACTTGAAGACGGATAAGACTTGCCAAATGCTTGTGGTGAATTCACATTCACAGCATCCATTTATTATCCACAATAGGAGCCCCTTTCATTTGTTCATTTTCTAGCCAGCTTTTACTATTTGATATGAATTTGAAACTTCTGTCGTGAGATACCGCTGACGAGTGTGTTGGAAAGGGTTAATGGAGGGAATGCCAATGACATGAGAAGTTTGACTTCACTATCTTCTGTCCTCTTTCCATTTGTTTTCGTTGCAATTGTTGAAGTCATGCTCCATTTGTGGAGATTGACTTTTGGTATGGATTGAATTCAAAGATACATAACCCATATACAAAGTTTGGATATTGAACAATTGCTTGCTTACTGCTGTGATATGTAGGCATTAGCAGATAAAGAAGCCACTGTTTTGAAATATAATAATTTCGTTCTCTGAAAGCAGAAACTGTTTTATAATATGATCAGAAAGAAATGATCTTTCACTCTCAGAAGTTGGTCTTGTCCAATGCCAAATTTGTTAAGTGTGCATTGGAAGTTTAATGAATGAGAGATTGACAGGATTTCACGACCAGTGAACAATTTCAATTGCATTTTTGGTGTCTTGAGATAAACTAAAATATTGATTTTATTTGTACCTTCAGGCAAGGAACGATAGGAGCAGAAATTATACATGCTTGATTTAATTGTACGCATGATCTTTCTATAATGGGTAAACTTGAATTTCGTTTATAAATCATATGATACTTGATGCAACTGCAAGAATACTTTCCCTTATCTTTGCTCGTGACCATCGTTGATGGGTAAGCTCCTTTTGTGTCAGCATCTTCACAATGGTTTGAACATATTATCTGAACTATCTTAGAGTCGAGAATGCTAATGTTTCGTGGAACCTTAATGCATCAACATTATAAATTTAGATAGTTCGACATCAAAAGGGCATTAGTTTAATTGTTATAGCAATAAGCTTAAAAACAAGAATACAAAAAATGTAGAGCACTTCATGTATGTGCTGCATAATTTACATTGTACTCTGTTCCCTCTTGCCAATGCTCTATACTTTGACCATTTCATTGATGCTGGTGGAGTTGATGTTATTTAATTTAAAATCTTGTCATGGCTTTCAAATCAGTGTTCATCTATCGAGTTATCTCATTAGTAATTTTGGTGTTCTATTTTAGTTTTAAACTATGGAGCTGCTTAATTTTGCCTGTAACATAAAATCAAGTGCTCATGTAAAAAAAGTAAAACTAATATTGGGTTATGTACAGATCTGTTCATTTGAAAACTGGTGCTAAATATGTATTAGCACTTGAAGATTAACTTCCTACATGCCAAACGATGGTATTCTTGATTAGATAACACCTATGAAATGGAAAATCTGTTGGTTAATGATTTGACTGCCGGTGGACCATTGCCAATGTCAATGAATTTGGACAGGCATATTTCCTTTTATTCTGTATCCCCTGTTTTCGAAAGCCTCGTTTTTCTGGGAAAAACTTGCCTAAAACAGTTTAACCTTTGCAATGTCCTAGGTCACTACTGTCAAGGTCAGCAATCTCTCCTTGGGGGCTTCTGAGCGTGATGTGAAAGAGTTTTTCTCCTTTTCTGGTGATATTGAATATGTGGAGATGCGAAGGTTATTTTTGTTTGGCTTCTCTATCTTTCTCTCAGAGTGAGTGTGTAGTAATGAATCTCGGCGTGCTCATATTGATTGAAAATATCATGCCTGTGTAGTGATACCGAACGGTCTCAGATTGCATTTGTTACCTTCAAGGATGCACAGGGAGCAGAGACCGCAGTTCTTCTCTCGGTAGCTCTCTCTCTCTCTCCCTCTCTCTCTCTCTCTCTCTCTCTCTCTCTCTCTCTCTCTCTCTTTC